GTTTTGGGTGCTTTTTGGAGATTTGGGGCTTTGGGGCTTTTAGGGTGACGCAAGGCGCCCTCAGGACTAGGTAGGGCTTTGGAGTTTCAGGGGGGGATTGAGGGGGCTCGCAAGGAAGGGTTTCAGGGTGTTGCGCATCAACTTTGTTTGGGGGATTAGGGCTTAGGGCTTCGTTCTCCCAAGAGCCTGAGAATTGGCGGGTTGAGCTACGCACTTGTGCCCTATACGATAGGCACTCTTAGACTCTACAAAGCATACTAATCAATATTTTTTAGCCCTCGGGCCCTACCTCTACGGTCCTCCAAGCAGTGAGTTCCCTACATGGCCATGTGTCTAGGAAACTGGCATGTAGGTCAGGCTTTGATGCAATCTGGACACGCCGCGGTCTCTGAAAGTTATGTGGACATACGGCAATGTGGTCTGCTGCCCCCCCTTCCCTGTAAAGCTGCCAAATTGGAGGAGCTGCAGTCTGATGTCGTGAAAAGTGGGGTGCGCGTGGTGTGGATAGATGTGTGTGTGTGTGGATGTGTGTGTAGCTGCTCTTCAATGTCCTTTTCTCGACTGCCGCCCGTGCGGACTGGAAACTCTGAGGTCCACCGCTTGGACCGACGTGCACACCCCTTGGCTTGGGCCGGCCCGCTTGCCCTGAGGCGGCACGCAGGAAAAATTGTCCCACACAGTCCTAACTCCAGATTACGAGCCTGGCACGTGCTGCGAAAATGCACATGTAGCAGCATGTCTTTCGAATTTCTTTTGTCAGGTCTAACCATACTTCGTCTTGCACGGGGCCTCAACTGGTACATTGGGAGTTTGTGGGGTGAAGGCCTTTGATGGCCTTCAGCAAGTACTTGAAAGAGCATCACACGCATACAAGCATATACAAGTAACAGACGACTTGCAAACACACGATCTGAGCATGCTTGGGGTAGCTGAGCACACCTGTCGGTAATCTGCGCAGCCAGCGATAAACATCCTAGATGCATGAAGTGCATACGTGCACAAGATTACTAAGTTGAACAACCCTCTCGATAAGGCCAGGCGCTTGGGTCGCAGGCGGCGCTGCCGCTAAGGCACGTATCCGGGCCTCGTCTTGCACGCAGTCTTCGCTGTGGTGCTTTGCCGTCCACCAAGTTGAGGTTCAGTGATCGTTTTTGTATTGCTGACGTTTTCCTGCCTATGCCACAAGGCTGCCACAACGTTCCCATGGGTGGGCCCACATCGATTTTCAAGGATTAGCACCATAGCGACCGACGGGAGCCTGACAGCACTTTAGAGTGTGGCCCCTATCATCGAAGACAAGATGGGATCTAGAATAGTTGTGTCGGATGCTCACATCCCCCAGGGTTCGTTTAAGGGTCCCTTACAATGCAGTACACTATTCCCTGAACCCTGTAGACCCAAAACTCTACCGTAGACCCACAAACCCTGAGCAATGCAAAGATGCAAAGCCCAAAGGCCGCTAAACCCTAAACCCTAAACCCTAAACCCTAAACCCTAAACCCTAAGCCCCCCAGGCCTGGCAGCGCGCCTGGCCCGCCAGCATCAACTCGAGGAGGAGGTCCCTGGCAGCCGTCAGCTCCTGGGGTTTAGGGTTTATAGGGTTTAGGGTTTAGGGTATAGGGTATAGGGTTTAGGGTTTAGGGTTTAGGGTTTAGGGTTTAGGGCCAACTTTGCGGTTCATTTGGGTAGTTATAAGTTGGGCCACAAGTATGGTCACCATACTCATCACCCTATTCAGGGTACTTTATCACCCTACACAGAACTCTTTTAACTACCCATGATCCTCCAAGTAAGTAAGGCCAGGGCTGGGGGCTTAAGGTGGAGGTGGAAAATGAAGCCCTCAATTTCGCAACCTGCGCTACTCTTCGGTAGTTTATCGGGACTGAGCCACAATTGGCTCGGGCGACAGGAAGCACTTTCCGGGCCTTACAGTTTATTGGAAATATTGCCTGGAAATCTACTTGTAGCTCCTGTTGTAGCATGATGTTTTGGTCAGTATCATGTAGCAAAAGATAAATTCGGTACCCGCCCCCCCCCCCCCACAAGGGACTACAATTAACTAACCCTAAACCCTAAACCCTAAACCCTAAACCCTAAAAAGGTCCAGGTTGGTATAAGCAGTGCGGGCGTAGCGAGCTTCTAGTTTCCGAGCCGGTTCATGCAGCGACAAGATCACAAGAACCGATCCTTGAAACGACACACCCTAAACCCTAAACCCTAAACCCTAAACCCCCACAAAGCCTGCTTCTCTCTTGGGCTCCTCGGCTCGAAGAGGAGGCTGCGCGGCGGAAGTGGATCGGGCAGACTGGAGGCTTCCGGTTGCTCTGCCCTCGGATGCTGCCTTTGCCGGGGCTGATGTGGAAGTTCCACCAGCTCCCGGGCGACTGCCAGATTTCGGTCTCTTGCCTGGCACAAGGCTTCATGCAGTGTGACATGGCAGTCCCGGATAGCGCTACGGCGCTGTTCAGTACACGCCTAGCACACGTTAGCTTTGTTTTACGGCATCTGCTGCTGCAAACTCTTGCGCATCTGCTCGAGCTTGCAAGCTTGATCCCAGCTTCATAAACCAAGCTTACAGCCCCAAGGACGACCTCACCCTGCCGCACCTTTCCGTCGGGCTCGGCAAGCTGGCGGTCGCTTTCTCGGTTTCCCCTCAGGGTCCATGCTGACAGGGTCCTGTCGAACATACAAATCTGTGCGCGAATTGATGTAAGCTGTTTGCTTTTCATGCCTCCATCTGTCAGGTGAGCCTGCCTGCTCTCAATGAACAAATGTCAATGAACATTTGTCAACTCATTGACACTGCTTAGACCTGCTTGCGCTGCCCACATCAGACAGAGACCCGTCCTCCTGAACACCTGCCGGTGTCTGCACAACAGCCGATGCGGGGGAGGAAGTTCCAAGCTCGGATGCCTGCACAGCATCATGGGATCCTGGGATTCTTTCTGCACCTTCTGTCTCCAAATGTGAAGAAAACAGCATCAGAAATGTCCAACATTGCAATGCCCGGAGAGCTTGCTGGCCCTTGGTAGGAAATGAAGGAACAGAACAAGGTACCTTTTATCACCTATATCCCCTTTATAAACCCTTCAGGGCGTTGCTTTTTTATGGGGTACCTCCTTCCCACATTCCCTACTACGAACCCGAAAGATCGCCTGTCCGCGTCGCCGCAGCGCCCGCACCTGCACAGCGAAGCGCGCCACGAGGCAGAAGCGCCAACACCCCCCAAAGCCTTGGAATTCCGGAGCCCTAAGCCCTAAACCCAGGTCTAAAGAACCCCGAAACGCCCTCTGACAGCCCTAAAGCCGCCCAAGCCCTAAACTCTAAACCCTAAATCCTAAACCCTAAGCCTTATAAACCCTAAATGTTAAACCCTAAGCCCTAAACCCCTAGACCCGAAGGCTCCCTTCTCCGCCACCTTCAGCTTCTTGGCCGGCGCAGCTGCTTGAGCTCCTCTCGGAATCGTGGCTTCGCCACAGTCCGAAGGGGCACTTCGAAGGCCCCCACGGTTTAGGGTTTAGGGGTTTAGGGTTTAGGGCTTGCAGGGCTTGTGAGTTATAGGGGTTTAGGGTTTACAAGGCTATTGGCTTAGGAGGGGCAAAGTGTTTTAGGAACTGACTGTCTCAAAACTAAGCAACACCTGCCAACGTGACATGTGCCAAGCTGCCATTTGCAGTGGGCGATGCCGACGGCTTCTTCCGGCCTAGGGAGTACAAGTCCGCCTCAAAGAAGTATATATATGTACAACCAGGGTTTTATCGTCAAGCAATACAAACACTTCCAAAATTGGCTAATTTGGGTTTAGAATGTGGGTTTCTGGGCCTAGGTGGCTTGGGGCAGGAATTGCCCTGGCTTTCTAAGTGAAGGATCATGGCGGGCCAATGTCGTTGCAATGGAAGCGAAGGTAACATCTGTTCCTTGGGCGGCCTCGACTGGCTGCGTCCAACTTGCTACCGATCTATTAATTGCTTAAGAACCCCCAACAAAAAAACAACAAATATTCTTCCTTACAAGGGTGATATAGGGATGACTATGTTTTTAATCCTTTTGGGGTTCTTGAGCAAGTAGTAACGATAACATTATCACCAGCCTTCCCATTGGCTGTCATTGTCTCTGTGTACGTTACCTTCATTGCTTCTTGGCTAATGTTGACTTCACATTAGGAATTCCCGCCGCAATTATAAAATCCAGCTGCCAGAACACAATAATGTAGCCCGCCACAATTATAAAATCCAGCCCGGAATATTCTTCTGAAAGTGATCCCCCAGAAGCTCGCAGTAGAGGCTCACTTAGCCCACTGTGGTGGCACCGGGACAGCTAGACCTACCAGGATTTAGGCGGATATTATTGAGGAGGCCCTGGCCGGAGAGATTGATCAATGAAGGGGGGGGGGGGATTTATTAATGCGAAGTCAACATTATGGGTGATTATGTTATGACTGGAGCCGGTAGAAAAAGACGTGAGTGTCCCTAAAAATGCCTGAGCGCCAGGCGCTTCAGCTTCACCATTTTCATGTGGAGCAAAGCGCATATAGCAAACCCATGAGAGCAGGGTCGGTCCACCAGCAGCAAGAAGCAAGCTTAACAATCGTCGGGGGGTAGGGGCTCAGACCGAAGTTAACACAGGTTCAACTCATATGTGTCGCTGATCATCACTGATCTTGTGGGTCTGTTCAACTCTCGGAGTGCTTGTGCGGTGTCATCGCCGGCTCGTGCGAAACTACCTGGGATGCTGCACTGCACCCGTCTTGGCGTCCCAGAGCTGCACGGCTGCGGGCAAAGCGCAGTCTTTAACAGGTACGTGCCCTGCTACGTGGACGGAAGATTTCGGGGCCTCACTCCACCCCCAAACCCGTGTGGCCACTAATTACTAGGGTCTAGACTTGCCGACAGCAAGGAAGCGAGAGAGAAATGGCATCTCAGCACCAGCGGCGACAGCAACAACACCACACCACAAACTTTGAACAGGCAACCCTCCCCCCGCCGACTCAAAGTGCAGGCCTCGGCCAGCAGGCACCGGGGTCGGAGTTGGATACCCGCCACGTAGGGGCGGGGCTGTGCAGCATGACGAGGGATCGGAGAGAGAGGAAAGAGGACGGTGAGAATCGCGAGAGGAGATCGACCACTTGGAAGCCCTTTTGATTGAGCATGTAGGAGTATTTTGTTGGGTTATGTTAGTACCTAAACCCTAAACCCTAAACCCTTAACCCTAAACCCTTAACCCTAAACCCTAAACCTACTTACTTGCTTTCCTTGAGTTGTGCCTCATAAGAACGTCCCAAGCCCGCCTGGCGGCGGCTTCTCCTCGCTCTCAGAGGCGCTGGCAGTGGTGTGCCCGGCCTTCTTACCCCGAAACAACAAGATGGCCCTCCCAAATTAGGGTTTAGGGTTTAGGGTTTAGGGCTTCGGGTTTAGGGTTGTGGGTTCAGGGACGGCTCTCTCGTGTTTTAAGATGATGTCTGGGTCAGCGATGTTTTTGATGTTGGGACTCGGGAGAGCAACAGGAAACAAAAACAAAAACATACTCGCAACCGAAATCATAAGCTCTACAAACAGTGGGTTTAGGGTTTAGGGTCTGGGGTTTAGGGTTTAGGGTCTAGGGTTAAAGAGTTAAACTCCACGGCCAGCAACTAAGGGGCCTCTGTCGCCTGCTCCCGGTCCATAGCGATGGCCGTCTTCAATGCCTCAGAGCACTGCACAGAGCAGCGGGACACCCTAAAAACCCCGTAGTTAAGGAATATAGAGATGGGGGTTTCCGAAAATAGGGGTACCTTCTTGGGGATAAGGGGGTCCTACTATTTGGGGGTCTATTGTAGGATTCCCTTATCATTCGGTAAACCCCATGTTAAACCGCCCATATGATGATTTGAGGTACATTCCTTATTGAAGGGGTATGGGGCTCTTTGGGCAGAATCCCTAAACTCTGCCAACACCCTACAGCCTCGAAACCCTGCAAGCCCCATACGCCCTGTAAACCCAGCAGACTCTTTTAACACGAACCCCAAAAGCCCTAAAACCCTCCAAACCCGGAATTCTACAAACCCTGAACAAAACCCGATAGAAATCATTAAAAGCAATAAAAAAAAATCCTGTCGAAACCCGTATAAAAACCCTGTAAAATTCCCTATACCCCTGAAACATGTAGCCCTATAAACACCCTTTAAAGCCTAAAGTCCGAAAAACAAACCTATCTAACCCTGCAAGCACTATAAGAAGCTATATAAATCCCTCAAGAACCCTGCATAAACCCTTTTCAACGCAAGAGATCTGGACTGCCACACGCTCTCGCGGCCTCGAACCAGGTCAAAGCCTCGGTCGCCGATGCGCACCTGAGCCATGTGGCTGGTTGCTTTAAGGGGGAAGCTAAACAGGGCTTCTAGGCCCTATAGGGTTCAGTGCTGATGCGTCATTTTTACATATAAATAAATAAATAAATACATATATATATATACATGTATATTTATATTTATTTCTCTATATATTTATATATTTATATTTATATTTATACTTGTATTTATATTCATTTATCTTTTTTGCTTATTTGTGTATTTATTTATTGTTTGTGTATTTATGGTCTCGGGCTGCCACCCCCCCCCCCCCCCCCCCCCCCCCACATCCTCCCTACCCCCACGCCCCGCCCTCCTGTGGTGTGGATGTGGTTGGAGGGTTAGGTTTAGGGGCCGACCATATATGAATATTAAAAAAAAACAATCGTTTCTGAGGCTTATGGGCCTGATAGGGTTTAGGGCTGACTTTTTTGAATACAAGTTCATAGGGTCTGTAGGCCTTATAGGGTTTACAGGGCTGGTAGGGTGTTGTCTTGCAGGGTTTATAGGGTTTTGTAGGGTCGATGTTGGGGGTCCTTCGGGGGTTTCATTAAGAGGGTGCTTGTTGGGCTTGCAGGGTCGGTGAAAGGGCTTCCAGGGGTCATGCTGTGGCGCTGGGCATTATAGGGTTTACACAAGGGCTGGCGGGGGCTCGTAGGGCTTGATCGGGTGTGGAGGCCCTATGGGGCCAGGAAACTACATAAGAACCCCAAACCCCAACCCCAAACCCCAAACCCCAAACCCCAAACCCTAAACCCTAAACCCTAAACCCTAAACCCTAAGCGCAAGAGCCCGGCTTGCAGCACTTCAGCACATGAACATGCCTGCGAGTTTCCGCTTGCCTCGACTAGACCGCGATGCGGCCTGGATCCTAAGACCTCCTTCTTACCTAGCAGCTGAGTTTGCAGCATTAGCTCCATGGTTTTCGCCGGGCGGGTCATGACCATGAGCATGTGCTGCTCCTTCGACATGTTACGCCCACTGCGAAAATCATGCGGCAATGAAAGCTGAACAAACCTGCTTTTCGCATCAGATCTCGAGCAGAGGAGACATTTACAAATAAGCAATGTTGTAGCAAAAGCACTATCTCGAGGCAGAGCTACTCCCACAACTTGAATCTGATGCCCCCTCGGGTCCTCGGCCTCCTTTGTGGCCTTCAGGAAGCTCGTCGTCCGTTGGAGGAAGGAGCCTTCTTTGCGGGGACCCTAAACCCTACAAACCCTGCCTCAACCCCAGAAACCCCATAAACCTTACTGGCACAAGCCCTGAAGGGTGTACAAACCTTAACAACCCCACCAACCCTGTAAATACCCTGTAAACCTGGTAATACCCTGCAAACACCAGGTAAATGCCCTGTAAACCCTCTGAACGCATGCAAGCCTGGCAACCTCCAGGTCTGTTTTTGCACCTCTTCTGAGCGCCCAGCGCCTGCTACTTTTGCTGAACTCGGAGATGTTGTCTCCTTTGAGATCGGCCTCCAGCGATCGGCAGGATGCGAAACATGTATGACCACTGCGTCACTACCCATGCAGCACAACAGTGAGGGTGTGGGGTTTAGGATGGTTGTAGGGTTTGGGGGGCCGAAGCCCCGGATGAACTTGGAGCGACACCTCGGGCATCCGCACATCCACTATGTCGGCAAAGGGCGTCACAGCCGACACCTTCAAACAGACCGTAGAATCATATCCCTCAGGGCCCCATTATTGAAGGCCTTTTACCTGTTTTGGGGCCCAAAAGCCTTCTTATTCGGGGTCTTGGGCCCTTAGGATGCCCTTAGGGTATGCGATCGCTCTCATGAACACACCCAAGTGTACCCTCTCACGCGCGGGGCCGGGCGGCCCGGGGTCCCGGGCTCGGGAGCCCGAAAGCAGAAGTTTGGGATAGGCCCTAAAAACCCTGAGCCCTAAAACCCCAAAAAAACCCTAGACCCTAAAACACCCTGAACCCTACAAACCCCCTTCTGAAACCCCGAGGCCTGAACACTAAACAACCCTAGGCCCTACAAGCCCTAAAAATCATACGAAGACTTTTAAAACCACCTTGCAAATTGGGGGGGAGGCTCCCCCCGCCCCCCCACCCCCCACCCCCCACCCCCCCCACCCCCCCCCGGGCTTGTTTTAAGCCGCGCAGGCTTGCTTCAAGACCATTATACGGATCCTCTTCAAACCCATCACGCGAGTATCGTGCGTCCAAATGGGGGGGCTGCGCCCCCCCCAACCCGCCCGCTTTGTTTAAGTCGCCTTCAGGCGGGAGCCCGGGAGCCCGCCTGGGAGCACGGGAGCCCAGGAAATCAGGAGCCCGGAATGCTCAATGCACGGGACCGCTGCAAGCGGTGACTTGAACGGGCTGCGCAGCCCGGATGGCAACTCGGCGAGAAGGAATTTTTCCGGGAAGGCAAAGTTGTGCTGAAGGCCTCTCCAGGTGTCTAAAGTTCAAGGTGGCTCAGTGGCCCTGCTGTCTGAAGCGTCCGACTGTAAGAAGGGGCGCCGTTGATGTGCTCGACCAAGTAGGTCGGTATCATCGCTTTGAATACCTCGGAAGATAGGTTACCAAGTACCCCCCCCCTCTATCGCGCGGTATTTGCGTACGAGTAGAAGTAACACGAAAAAAAGGAGTAAACCACCCCGCACGTACGCACGCACGTGTACTTGGAGAAAGCCATTGCTGAAGGGTTCTTGGCTAGGTCATGCAAATCTGCTGTGCCACTAGATCCACAAACGGCCACCACTGATCATGCTCGGCATATGGCCCGTGTACACGATACTGATAATAATAATAACAAGAAGAATAATCTAATAATAATGATAATAAAAATAATCACAACAACAATGACAACGACAACGACAACGACAACGACAGTGACAATGACAATAACAATGCCAATGACAATAACAATAATAATAATATTCATATTCCACGGGCGCATTATTAGTACGTTTATGACGCCCGCATTTCGTTCTCATGTGTAATTCCATTCGTGTGTTATGTTCATGCCTTACAACTCAATTAGTTTTTTTCATTACATAATAGTACTAAAGGAACACAGGCGGCTGGGTTCCTTGTCAATTCGAGCTAGTACGGTGGGGCCGGTCCTAAAGATGAATCACATGGTTTAGGGTTTAGGGTTTTTAGGGTGAGAGAGGTGAATTTTCCTTTGTTCGCGACTCCGATGCTGCAGAGGTTGCTAAACCCTAAACCCTAAACCCTCAACCCTAAACCCTAAACCCCATAAACCCTAAACCCTGAACCCTAAACCCCCCTAAACTGCCTTGGAGCTGCCCTCAGAGTGGGCATAGAAGAAGGTGTGCCTGGCAAGCGCAACTCTCTTACATCCAGCACCATTCCAGCCCCATGGGTCACGGAACATGCTGCGCTGAGGCAGTGATTTTGGGATGTTCCCCCTTATACTAACAGTCATTAATAGGGATTACAATCCTTAATAGGGATTACAATAGGGGTACTGTAATCCCTATTAAATAGTATAAGGGGGAACATCCCAAGCAGTCATAGCCGTTCAGGCGGATGGCGTATCGAAGTCCAGGGTGAAGTAGCGTTTGTTGTACCTTGAAGCCCCCCGGCTCCCATGGTATCTTTTCGAACGTGCCCAAAACAAGAGCGGCTGGCTGCTCTGAGTGGCTCACTCTCGTATCCTGAATGCCGACGCACCACTTTTCCTCTTTTGCAGCCTGCAGAGAAGCATGTGCGATAGCTAGACAGAGAATGTCCAATCCAATGGAGAAGCTCGAAGTGGAGCATACACTAATTGTTGAAGAACGTCCAATTCAAAAAAAAGTGTATAATATATACATATCTACATATATATATATATATATTAATGAGAATACGATGATCATATATATATATATATATATTATATTTACATTCTACCTTATGAGGGCAATATACGGATGATTCTCAACGCATGAAAAACTGTCCCGGCTGTCGCACAACTCAAAAGAGACAGAAGGTCTGAAGTGTGCCAACGAACAAATACCAACAACAAAGTGAACGAATCTGCACAAAAAAAACCGAACCAAGGGTGCGCAAGATGCTTTCGTGGGCCTTCCTCCCTGCTTGCTACTGATAGGCAATCAACACAGCAAAGCACAGCTGAGCTTGTCTGAAGACCATCCGAACCAACATTTCCGAGCGAAGGGGGATGGCGTGGGGGGCTGTCGGAGTTCTGGGCAGTGGATTTGCCTTTGTTCTACCACAGAACTACCCGCTCGCCGATGCCTCTACCCTAAACCCTAAACCCTAAACCCTAAACCCTAAACCCTTCCCAGGCGTGCCAAGCACTGAGCTGCCCTCGGTACTCGACGTCTCCGCCCATGGCGCCCATGGCCTCAGCAGTACGTTCACGCGGCCTAGGACCTCTTCGACTCGGGTCTCGTTGGGGGGCGCCATTGAGATCATGGGTTCGAGGCTTGCGGCCGGGAGATGGCAAGAGTAGCGAGAGACGCTACAAATTTGCAGAGGACAGCGTAGCTAGCTTATGCTGGCAGCGCTGCCGCAGACATATGCCTGAGCCACCAGCCACGGGGCCCTTCTCCGAATGTCGCCACGCTCTACACCAGCACCACGAAGCCAAAGCAGCGAGCAGCAATTCTTGTTTAAAGACGAGGCTGGGCCCTAACTTCTTGGTGGTTAATGTGGGTAGTTATAAGTAGGGTTACGATACTTATAGCCTGCTTTAGGGCACCTATAACCCTACCCTACTTATAACTGCCCATGAACGGCCCAGTAGATGCTAAAGGGTTCTCAAACCCGAGAATTATGACATCCCCCCCTTGAGAAGTGAGCGCTCATGACACACAGTCGCGAGCTCCAACCCACGAAACCCCACAGCGTGGACATGTAACGGTCAGGCCCAACCCCTTAGAGCACAGTCATTCATAATGCAGATCCTTAGATGCCTTAAGCCCTAAATTTGACCCCTTAGAGTAAAGACGTGGACCTCGCCAAATTTGGCTAACTCCAGGAAGACTTCCTCGTAGAAGTGTTCCAGGTGCTCCTGGAAAAACGATGCCTACAGCCGCCTTGCACTTTCCTTAAGGGTTGGGCCTTCAGGGGCCTGGCATCAGCAAAAATCTTGGGCAAACTTCATCCCTGAGCTACCAAATTCACTCTTCTGACATCGCTCGCCCACCCCCGAACACACACCAACTCATGCTCGACTGACATCTGGTGCTGCACTCTAGATGCAAGGCCCCCCGCGCCAGGATGGCCTGCTGCCGGGCGTATGTCTCATCGTCCCACTCGTCATCGTTTGCCACGGCCATGGCTTCCGGAATACACGGATACCTGCGAACGATGTACTAGGGCAAGTACTTAGGAATCAAGCCTTGGCCCGCGGCACAGCTCTTTCAAAATTGATTCAAGTACTGTAGCTCGCTTTAAGACAGCACTCTCATTTAAGATTCCCAGGCACCAGGTGGACCCTAGTCGGTGCGCTGTTTCGAAACATTGTGAGGAGGATTGTCGCGAAGACCGGGGAGCATCTTCCGGACCACCCAACACAGCTCATACTAGTTGGGTGACCTACCCTTATCTTGCCGGCCACTCACATCTTGTGATCTTGTCCAGTCAGCGTAGTCCAGCTCCCGTTTGGGATTGTAAGGATGTTGCTTCGGACTTGGATGTGGAGTAGGAGGAAGAAGGGTCGAGGATATTGCTGGATCGCAGGATGTGGGTTCCTGGCTAGGGAACCCGCGCACCTACTACTTAAGACGCCCCAGGCCTGCCAAAGAACAATACATCTACAAATATGCTCCTCGTCACCATCTGCTTGAGCTTCAGCTGAGGCTTGCACAGATGGGGAATCAGGAGCGTGTTGCCGCTGGCCGGCTTGCTGTGAGCCTGGTTTGTAAACTCTGTCTGCCGACGCTTGTATGACGCTTCTACTCCGCGAGTTACAAGGCACTAAGATCCGAGCGCGATTGCATCGGTCGCCGTTTCGGCAAGCACCGATCTTGAAATAGAAGGGGCAATTCACCCGGTCCTCTTTTGACTGTGCTTCAGGTGACAGGGCACAGGGCCTGTCGAGTTTATGCAGGGGGTTCTGCGCCAACAACCAAGCACTTCCCTGCCGCAGAGTGCGAAGGCATTCGCGATGGATGTTAGCGCTGATTTTGCCGCGCAACTGAACAACTCTCAGAGACTCCGATGCCCCTTGGTTAAGGAATACTCCTTAAACCATAGCCATATAAGGAACCCCACGGTATTTTACGGAATATTCCAAAGTTAAGGGGTTTTGGAGTCCCTGGGAACTCCCAGAGGGTAGCCGACAAAGGGCCACAACGGTTTGAGGGACTGCCGGCTCCTCCTCAGCGATGAATCCCTGACCTGAGGGGCTTTCAGCAGGTCTCCTTCACTCTATAGGCATCCCCTCCCTAAACCCTAAACCCTAAACCCTAAACCCTAAACCCTAAACCCTAAACCCTAAACCCTAAACCCTAAACCCTAAACCCTAGTCGACTCCATGATGCTCTGAGCTCTTGAGGGGCAGGCTGTCATCCTTGTTGGTCAGGAAGCTGAAGTCGAAGCCATCCCGGCCACCGCTCCGCGGCATCCCTGGTTTGGGGAGGGCTTTAGGGTTTCAGGGCTTATAGGGATTTGGGGTTTTTGGGTTTATAGGGTTTTTAGGGTTTCAGGGCTTATAGGGATTTGGGGTTTGAGGGTTTATCGGGTTTTAGGCTTTAGGGTTTCAGGGTTTATAGGGTTTTGGGGCTTTAGGGTTTTGGGGTTTAGGGCAACTCAGGGCAGCTCAAAATCATTCAAGCCTCCGCGACGAGCCCGTGGTCTCAAGGTCTCACAACTGAGCCAAACAGCCAAGCCGTCCGTCCGAGGAGCATTGGGTCAGCATAGGCAAACTGTCGCTCAACTGTGAATCAGCATGCAGCGCTCACTTCTCAACCCTAAACCCTAAACCCTAAGCCCTAAACCCCTTTTGCCAGCTCCACATGTTGCGAAGCGCAAAGCAATCCGGGGCTCTCAGCATGGCCGTGCTTGTTCAGCTTACCTGAGCTGATGCCAAGTTCAGGCAGCCCATGCTCTGCCTTCTAATATTCTAAGTCATGAGCTCATGGACAGCGCACTGCTGCGGTTTGTTACCCTAAACCCTACACCCTAAACCCCAAACCCTAGAAACCCTAAACCCCAAACCCTAAACCCTAACAGCAAGCCCCCACACCAGAAGGATGGGAAAGAAGAGACAGCGCACATGCGGCATCTTATGGGGTCCAAGTGGGTGCTAGCATATCTGGCATCAGAAGCATCTAGTGAGAGCCGGAAGCGGAAGTGGAGAACTGTGCACCAGCAAAGCCTCCTAAATACAGGTAGAAGAATGCATAAGATGCTCCCTTATGTGCACATATATATATATATATACATACATGTATACATAGAGCTAGGCTAATAATGTACATAGAAAATCGTAGACATATGTGTAATTATGCTTTATGTGTATATATTCATGTGTGCAGGCGTGCGTATGTGTGTATGTACACATCTACAGAAAGAATGGTGATACAAGGTCAACCTTCCGCAGCGACTCCGGGCAATGGTTGGGAAACTGCACTGCCAAAGCACAGGATGCGAGGCACATCGCGGCAAGACCCAAACGAGGCTCTCAAGTGCACAACTGGATCCTAACCCTAAACCCTAAACCCTAAACCCTAAACCCTAAACCCTACACCCTAAACCCTAAGTGCAACTCCTTCTTTGAGGCAGTGAAGACCGTGGGAGCTTCGCTTCTTACCGGTTTTTGGGCATTAATAGTCGCTGCCGGGGCGTGGAACTTCCTAGGACTGCGGACTGTGGCCCGGGCATGCCGAGGAGACCTTGCGTTAACACCATGGTTAGGTCCTGGCCGGGTTTAGGATTTACTACTATTCGCTTAAGAACCTCAAAAGAAGAAAAAATGATAATCCCTATATTACCCTTACGCTTAATAAGGAATATTTTGATTTTTTCGGGGGTTCTTAAGCAATTAGTAGTTTAGGGTCTCGGGGCTACTGATGACGCTTCCAGAGACTGCCTGGTAGCACTGCTGGAATAAACCTGCTATCACCCGCTGACACAGCAAGGATGTCCTCTCCGTGGGGATTTTGGCCAGGACCATAACCTGAGTCCATCTCAGACGGTGATACTGTACTGCGGTTTCGACCCTAAACCCTAAACCCTAAACCCTAAACCCTAAACCCTAAACCCTAAACCCTAAACCCTAAACCCTAAACCCTGTAAACCCTAAACCCTGTCAAGGCTTTGAAAAGTGCATCCTGGCCACGTGCCATTTGAGCCGTGAATCCCAGTGTTCGGATTCGAGGCCCTCGACGCCCCTGCAAGAAGAGACAAAGCGAATCTGCAGTCTCAAGGACTCAACCCCTAAACCCTAAACCCTAAACCCCAAGCTTCAAGCCTGTCACATTTGCTGACTTTCACAACGCTAGCTTCAACTGCTCGAAGCTTCTGGCCTCTTCTGGAACGGATGGTCGCACGATGCTCCAAGGGTCATACCTCTACCAGCAGATGAAAGCACAAGCAGGTCTCGTCAGGGCTCCTCGCCACTTATCACCCCTTCCTAACTTGAAGGTTCATGGTACTTATGAACCAATTAGAACTGTACTTATACCCCAAAAATCATAACCACATTAGGCCGCTTAAGGGGCCGATAAAGTGTAGTAAGAGGTTCAAGAAACCCAGGGCACCACGCAGTTCGCAGCCCCGATGCCAGCACCCAGGGAAGTGCCCAAAGGCTCCGGACAAAGGCGCGAAGTCCTAAGTAACGGACATCAAACTGCCAACAGTCATTCGTGATCCGAAAGGAACCGTTGCTAAACAAGTTGCTAAACAACAAAGGCTCTATAATTAATTACAAGCTATGGGGTAAACTGAAAACGAATCCACTTTGGTACACGTGATGTAAGTCTGAGTCGGCCTGGCCAGGCCATGCACAGAATGTAGTATGCTATGCGAGTTTTCGGGCTTGTGATGTGCAATCAAAGAAAGGATTGTAACGGACTCGAACAGACTCCCTGCCATGCATCGAGAGTGACTCATGGCATCTGGCCTAAGCCAAGCTCTTTACTGTTCGTAGAATCTCTGCTTAGCCCAAACCCCTAGGACCACTCCCGAAGCCGCGGCGCCCTCTTCAAACCTCCATAGCCCGTATACCGAACCAGTTTCAGCTGGGCCCGTCGCTGAGGAGGAGCCACACCACACGGCGCCGGAGGCGCCGGAGACAACTGACCCGTGCCTTCACAAATGCAGCAGCGCTGCAGAATCCAGCAACTTACTGGAAATGTCGGGGTCATGCGGATAGCAGTTTCATTATGATACCAGCAAGGAGCACAACGATTCGTCTCCATGCGTGGCACTCGTTTGCGGACCCAATGTCTCCGTCCTAAACCGAAGACTTGCTGACACAGCTCACGATTGCAAAGCTGCCCCTTTCCATTGCAAGGCACCACTGACGGCAGCCCTTGAAAATTGGCATCTTTATTGACAACGTGCATGCATACGGCATATGCACGCCCGCATGATATCCGAGCCCTCCATACTTCAAAAAGCTTCTTGCTTTCAAACCTCTGAGCAAGTCATGAGAACCACTGAAACCGCTGAAGCCCCAACCGCCCATTCCCCGGAGCTGCACCTGCGGCGCCACCACGACGACGGTATCACCCTCCTCAAAGCTCTGATCCTCCAGTGTCCCCTGCGAGAGAAGCTGGGCTTGCCGAGAAGTCCGGGTTAAAAGCTCCGATTTGGGAGAATGCGAGGGTGTGCTGGGCGAAAAGTGACTTTCTCAGCTTTCAAAATCAGATTCGGACTGCCCCCACTGCCATCCTCTGACCTCCTCACCTTCCCGCCTCTGAGTCCAGGAGTCGGCCTGCAAAGACAAAGTTGCAGCGACCTGGGCAACTGTTGGACCATTGCATCTGTGAGACATGTCGGGGACTGTCGGATACCTGAGACATGCTACGTAGTGTGTGGCTTGGGTTGGTTTCCCGGAAGTGGAAATCTCGGCGTGGCATGGCACAGGTCCACTTTCGACGCCCATCTCTCGCCCCAAGACTTGGATCGCGGCCTTCTTCAGAGAACTCTTTGTCCAAAGAAGCGAGCACCTGCAGCTGGGCAACGACAGCACTCAGGAACCACTCGGCAGCAGGCATGGCTGTCCTGGCCTTCTCCTTGAACCTGCTGACGGGCAGCTGCTTCGGTGCATCAACCGTCCTTTCTTCTTGGCGCCCATCGCTCCAAACAGCTCGGATCAGCAGCTTGATCTCTGATGTCTCCGCTGTCGGTGCAACAGGCGACTCAGCAGCAGCCGCACCGGTGGTTTGGGCCAGGAATATACGGCCGGCCAGCGAGTCCAAGAGGGCATCCTCCTGAAGGAGGCGCCCGGCTGCAACAAGCCGCTGTAAGGAGGCCTTGATGCCCGTCCGTGCCTCAATGCCCAGCTTCAAGTCGGCCACCGTCGACCCGGCAGGGGTCTCAATCCTTCGTTGCTGAGTTCATAAGCCCCCAAAGGAAGTGTACACTTTCAGTTCTATAGGGGGTTAGAGTATCCCCAAAAAGGTGTAAAGTGTACTCACTCAGCTACTAAGAATCTCCAGGGGCTCTGACGCATTCACAGGCTGCACCCGCGTCACGGGCATGAGAAGGCCAACACGGCCGACATGATGTGAGGGGGTTTCCGAAATTAGGGGGGTACCTTATTGGGGTCCTTTTTGTAAGGGGAATCCGACTATTTGGGGGCTATATCCGGGGTCCCTTATTGTCGTAAACCCCCATATTGACGAGTTGCTGAACTCGGCTGAACTCCGTGGGGTTCGCTCCACTGTTTTTCCCGACAGCGTACGCTCTTGCATGCTCGAATGTTTAGTGACTGCCACGGCATCATGATTGTGAGAGAAGCAGCGGCAGGAATGCATACAGGAGCCCTGCAAGTTGATCTACATGTAGGCTGTAGAGACCCACAAGTGCACGTAGTTATCTCAACCTCACCTATTGCTTTCCATGCTGACTGGCCGCAGCCTCCTGCGTCCGAGGCTCGCGGCTTAAGCAGGCTCGCGGCTTAAGCATTCTGGGGAATGCAGAAACAAGAGATGTGCCGAGAAGCACCAAGGCCACAACAAAGCAGACTGCTGCATGTTTTCTCTTAAGCCATCCAATGGGCTCCGCTGCCGTGAAACTGCATCAACAAATGCCAAACCACCTGTACCTAAGCGATAAAAAATCCCGATAGACGCCACATGCCAACACTCAGCAATGTGCAAAGGACTTTGTACGTGCGCCCGAGATAGTAACAGTAATAGTAAAAATAACAGTAATAGTAACAGTTATAGTAATAGTACTAGTAGCAGTAATAGAAATAGTAAAAAAACAAGTAAGAGCAGTAGGAATTCAGCATGCCTTCTCTCTCAGAGGCCCAGGGCAGAGCGGGGCTTGCCGGAGGGCAGCGGTGGACTTGGCACGCCAAAGTCGCGTGGGCGTTGGGGCTTAGGCTTAGGCTTAGGCTTAGGCCCCATCAGTCTTCAGGTTTTCGGGTTTAAAGGGTTAAAGGGTCTAAGGGTTACAGGTTTTCGCTGGCTTATAAGTCTCGTGCGAATTCGGTCATCCTCGTGAGCTGAGTCTGGGGGGCTTAAGTCCGTCATCGGCCCTCGCATGAGACCACGTAGCCACATGCAACCACGCGCGCGCCGCCATCATCTGGCAAAAGCTCCGTCATGAACGCTGGGATTCTGGAACGCGGAGGGCTTTTTTCTCAGGCTCGAGCGGAAGGCCACCGCCCTGTCGCAGCCCAGGTACCTCCAAGAAGTCTTGTGTTCGCTCACCCGGGATGCTCGTTTGGGGACTCAGATATTGCACGCCTGGCCCTGTTCCAAGTGCTGTCAAGGGCCAGGGAAGCCTTCCCTGCTAAACGTCCCAAACGTCCCCCAAAGCTCTCAACCTCCAATCTCAGCAGCGTGCAGGCGGAGGCAGCAAGGAGAAGTAGCCCGGGGGCCCTGGCCTGGCTGCGCTTCATGGAAAGCGGGTTGGCCAGTCAGACATGTGCGAGTACAGTCACATGCCAAAGCCTCAGACAAAGTGACACAGAAATGAGTTGGGATATGATGACCAGCTCGGGGGGTGGGGGGGGTGGGGGGGGGGTTCGAAATAGGTGGGCCACCTATTTCTGGATCTGGGGTGGGGGGGGGGAGGTAACCACGGTGCCAACACAGCATCTGCTGAGAATCTTTTGCTCACTTGTAGGGAATGTAGGGAACCTACACAGAAATAGGTGGCAGCAGGGGCGGGTTGTGGGAATAGTAGAGCAGGGCACATACGAACCGTGGGGTGACCCCCTTTCCCTCTACCCATTTAGGCCTGGTTATTGTGGGAGCATACAGAAAAGCTACTAGTAAGCGAACCTACACAGAAATAGGGTGGGTTCCTTAGTAGTAGCCCCCGCTATAAGCTTCGACACTATCCCCCCACCTAAATGAATAGAAGGAAAGGGGGGCACCCCGCGGTTCGCATGTGCCCTGCTACACTATCCCCACAACCCGCCTTGCCTTGCCACCTATTTCTGTGAGGTTCCCTGCCATTCCCTACTAGTAGCCTCTCTATATACTCCACAATCCCACCTAGCAAAAGTAGCAGAAGTGGCAGAAGTAGAAGCAGAAGCAGAAGGAGAAGGAGAAGAAATAGTAGTAGTAGTAGTAGTAGTAGTAGTAGTAGTAGTAGTAGTAGTAGTAGTAGTAGTAGTAGTAGTAGTAGTAGTAGTAGTAGTAGTAGTATAGAACCAAATGATACGCGCCACCTATTTCCCCCCACCCCCCCACGGTGGTAGTATAGGTGGCGGGCTCCAGGAAAAATAGGTGGGAATCCACGTGACCCCCCCCCCGACCACCTATTACGAGACGGTCACCATGTTGGGATAGATGGGCACCCGTTCAAAACATTAAGACCCTAAACACTAAAACCCTAAACCCTAAACCCTAAACCCCTAACTCGGCGCCCAGCTCAGCTGCTTGGAGCTCGGGATCTGCCTCAGGCGCCTCCACGACCTCCACCGGAAAAAGAGATATGAAGCAGGGTTTAGGGTTTAGGGTTTTAGGGTTTTAGGGTTTAGGGCCGCACACATCGGTGAGACCATGGCTGCGCTGTAGTTTGCTTTGCAAAACGCAGTACCACCAAGCAGATCGTGGCACTTTCCACATAGAGCACGCTCCTGTCCATCCCTGCTTACCAGTAGTTCATGCGCCGCTTTGCATCACTGCTTCCGTTGCTTCTCTTCCGTGCTCACCCTGATCGAGTTCTAGGCACCTCGGTCGAATCTGCAGATTCACTGCGGCTTGAAGCTGTCGTTTGCATGGTGCCTTGCCTTGCCAGCTCTGGCTCGCTTGCAAAGTTCTGCCACCTGCGCGTGGGCCATTTTTCAATATACGCGGCGCGCACTAGCACTTTCTTTCACTGCAGCGAGACGACAGTGACAGTGACTGCAGCAGCTGAGCCTGTTGATGCCGAAGGCGCTCTTTGTGCAAACGGCCGTGTTTCGTGCACCATTCGATGGCATCCTGCACACATGGCAGAGGGACGCAAAGGGACAAGAAGCCCTGAAACCCTGAAACCCTGAAACCCTGAAACCCTGAAACCCTGAAACCCTAAACCCTGATTGTTGCCAACATCAGTGCAAAACGTTCCGTCAGGGACCTGTGCGACGTCCAAGGCAGTACGTCCTCAGAGCTGAAGCAGGAAGCTCAAGTCACACAGGATTCCACCAGCAAGGCTTGCAGCAGAGACGACGATAGCATGATCTTCGAGGGTAGCTTTTAGTCAAGCTCCCTTTTTATTCAAGCCCCCTTTCTTGGGTACCTATGATTCAGCCTATGATCATAACGGACCCTTTTCTGAGTACCCAAACAGGATCCATGTTCGTTTTAACAACCCCCCCCCCCGCCCCTTGCATCCCTCCCGCCGATGTGTTTGGGCGATGGACCTTTAGAGGTTTCAGCTCTCCAGCCATCAGGATCTGCTGCCAGCACCTCAGAGGTTTGGCACAGCTGTGTCAGGGAGAAAAGGTTTGCCTGTGGAACATAAGGAGGTTTATACTGCGGAATACACATGAAAGCGCTATCACCTACTTAGCACCTAAGACCAAGGTCAAGAACTTCAACTGCTCTCGCACATGGCCTCCTACCGCAACCAAGTGCGATGGAAATTTTGCTTAACATACATACTTTGACGGTTCATCTGAATTCTGAACCCTGTGAACTGAAGGAGCAAACGACGCAAGTTCACAAGTTCGCCAAGGCCCCTGCGGCCGCAGCCTGAAGGGTCTAAGCATGACTTTAGTCTGCACCACACTGACTCGGTGTGCAAGGAACCAGCTGCTGACCGCATCCCTGGGAAGTCCAAGCAAGTTGTGGCAGTCACGACCAAAATGTATGAATCACAACATGCTAAGCACTCTGAAGAACTGAACGGTTAAGATTGCACCCACCTCTGTCTTTAAAACTCTAAGAATTACTTCTATGCCAAATTTGAGTCCGCATCTCGATGCTTGCAACTCTTTGCACCATCATCATCATCATCACCACCATGATCGTCATCATCATCATCATCATCATCATCATCATCATCATCATCACCATGATCATGGTCATGATCATGACCATGATCATCATCATCATCATCAATCACCAACGTCTTGGGCACTGCCCCATCACGACAAGGGGAAACTGGTTTGTGTATCGTGTCCAGCCTATGGTTGTTCGACGAATCGTGCCGGGTTCCTTGCGTTTGCTGACTGTGTGCGTGCGGGCCGACCCTGTAATTTCGGGCCCCTCATTTGTGAGTTACTCTAGGTAAGTCTGTGTTCTCCGGCTTGGTTGATACCCACACGAGGAATCTTGCCAAAAGTTCACCCAACCCGACCCAGCCAGGAGTGTAGCTTGCTCTTGCTGGCTGTGTGCGGGGGGGGGGGGGGGGGGGGGGATGGCGATGGAGACCCGGATGCCTGGTTTGCAGGCTGAGCGCCCCCTGGTCGGTCCCGCACACACACACACAGACTATGTCAGCCTGGGCACCATGTTCCAAAGACATGTATGAAGCCGACTGTTCATCCTCCATGTGAGTCCCCTTAAGGTTGGGTGGCCGAGCCTGAATGGGGCGGCCAAAAGCAGCCGCCTCGTGCAAAGCTGTTTGCCCTACCTTGGCAGAGCGTAGGCTGTTGACGAGTGGGTTGACCAATAACATAGATCCACGCGCCTTTGCCTTCATCAGTCGCACTCCCGAAGCCCATCCAAACCAACTCAAGCTTTGCGAGACGGCCCTGCCTCATCGGGCCATGAGAAGGAAATGTGCCGCTGGCCAAAGCCATCGTAGTGCTCAGCGAGGGCAACATCACACCATGGTGCAAGCAATTTTGGTGCGCATCGGCTCCATGCACCAACCCGTCTTTCTAGCAACCTCTCAAAAAGATGAGGCCTTCCAGAACTCGTCGGCAGCAGTCTTCGCTTTGCCTTTCTTTGCCTGAGCACGACTAGAGGCATCCCGCAAGATGCCTTGTGAGCTGCTGCCAAACCTGGCATTTCTGGATGCTCCATCTGTACGTGACACAAAACATCGAGCAATTTTGGGGAAGATGCAAACCAGGCTTCAGCGACGGCGAAGCTGCCGTCCGGCAAAGTCGGCATGGCTGTAGACTGTGAACTTGCAGGCTGCTTGTGTTGCACTTTAGTTGTCTGCTTGCATCTCTACGACCAAAGGGCAGTTCAAGCGCAGCGATCTGCAGTCCAAAAGGTTTCGGGGCTCTGTGTTGCTGTGGTCGGAAAACGCCTCCCAAAACAGCGCGTCAACTGCATCCAAGTTGACATGTGCTCGAAAACGGGCCCCTCAAAAGCCAGACAAAGGTTGAGTAGCTACCAGCCAGGGGGGAAGAAAGGCTTCGTACTGTGCAAAAGTATATGCTCGTTTATGAACTTATACAAATCTTGACAGTTTGATGGGTTGTTTCTTGTTGTGTGTTGCGGACACCCTTCCGTGCCAATTGCGGGTGGTGGAAGGTCTTGTTCAGTTTGGGAAAGGGTTTCTCAAGGGGCTGCAGGACTGATATTGCACCGCTGGAGTTCTGTGCCTAATTCGGAGCTACTTGGGTACTGCAGGGACCATAGATATCTGCCCGTTGGGGAAACGACAAATCTATTCTCTCTTTCACATGCATGTTGCTTGCTACTTACACTCCAGACCCTAAAACCAAAACCTCTAACCCAGGGTGCCATTCTCCAACCTTTTCAATTCAGATATACTGTTTGATTTGCCGTTAAACGCAACCTATCCCTGAGACAAATATAGCTGCTAGCTTCGTACCCTGATCATGTTCAATGATTCCCCTCTAGCTTGGGATGCTCCCCCCTATACTAACAGTCCTTAATAAGGAGTATAGTACCCCCCCCCCTTTTATGATCCCTATTCAGGACTCTTAGAATCATGGGAACATCCCAACCCCTAGCACCGAACAACAACAACAGCAGCAACAACAAAAACAACAAACAGACAAACAAACAAACAAGCACAAAAGCAAACGAACAAACGAACGAACGAACGACAACACCATCACCAACCACAACTGCGCAATCTCTGTCTTTGAGCTAGCTTCCTGAGTTGTAATTCATTGTTGGCAGCTTTGTCAAATCTAAAGCAATACAGCAAAGGATACAGCACATCAGCCTCAAGTTGAGCGACAAAACGAAAAACTCATCATACCAGTCCGCCTTCGTCCCTTTCAGCTTCAATATCTCAGACGAAACTCTGACTGCCCAACACAGCCCAAGGGACGGCATCTCTGTTAGCAACTCATGAAAACGCATCTGGCTTGTGCAACCCAGCTTCCTTTTGAATCTCAGCCTGGTGCACCCCACAGACTGGTCCTAGCAACTTGGGAGCATCTTTCACAGATACTCAGGGCACTAAGATGACACCTCTGTGTCATCACTATGAAGGTGTTGAACAGTAAAGACTGCTTCCGTTGATCCTTCACGTTATCTCGAGCTGGAGATGATATGGGAAGACCCCTGTTATCATGTGCATCACGCTGTGCTTAGATTGGGCAGTGCTGTCGGCTCAGCTTGCGTCAGCCTTCTCTCGCCTCAGGCTGTGAGCACCCTCATACTTCGACAAGGCATCAGGAGCCTGAGAGTTTCCAATGGGTGGAGGAAGCTGGAGGAAGGTTTCGCTTTTTTTGCAGACGCAACAAATTATCAGCCAAGTTTCGGTGGGAACTGCTCCGAAGACATGTGCGCTCTGCAAGAGGAGCTTTGCCTGAGGTCAGAGGCATGTGATGCTCGGGCCTATACTCTTGATGTTCTGATAGGATAGTGTTCGTGCTTCCAGGAGTGAAAGCTAGGAAGTTCAGCAAGCAGCTGGGTAGCCTGACACAAGACGGTGACCTGAACATCCCAGGGCCTGCAGGGACCCTTACAAACCCTCACGGACCTCGTTAAACCCTCTGAACGAACCGATGCAAGCACCAGTAGGGCTAAGCTCAGGGCCACTTCATGATGTCCGTGGAGATTTGCTAGTTCCAGTGCCGATGCCCTTGCCCGTACTGAGATGAATGTGGCATCCAGGATGGTGCGAACGACCTCCATGTGACCTTTGTCGGCGGCAAACATAAGAGCCGTAGAGCATGGGCCATCTGCCCCGTCCAGGCAGCGCTTCGCTCCATGAGGGCTTGCGAGCAGTAGCTTCACGCTCTCAAGGTGCCCACTGAACGCCGCATACACCAGCGCAGTCCTTCCTTCGTGGTCCTTTTGCTCCGTGTCTGCACGGTGCTCGAGAAGGCACTGCAGAATATCAACCTTGCCATTGAAGGCCACGTGCATCAAAGCCGTCCATCCCCGATCATCCGCACATTCAACGTTCGCTGCTTTGGACAGCAGATATTTGGCCACTGGCAGGTGGCCGTTGTATACAGCCGCGATGAGCGGTGTCCATCTGTCATGGCTGAGCGCGTTGACGTTCGCGGCATGCTCGATGAGGCATCGCGCGAGCGCCACGTGGCCGTACGTAGTGGCGTACATCAGCGCGGTGCATTTGCAGGAGTCCGTGGCATCCACCGGAAGGCCCGCACAGATCAAGGCAGCGGCCCGGACGAGGTCGCCGTCACGGGCAGCATGCATCAGCTCCGTACGCCCGGCCTCGTCTTTGGCATACTCCACCTTCCGCTCCACCGTAGGCTCTAACTCCGGAGAGTGGGCCCTTCCCTGTCGGGGTTTCTTCACCCCAGGACCTGCATTTCCGTGCCCCACTTTGGAAGCTCTGTTTAAGGGCTGGCGATTCTCGGCATTCTCTGCACGCCGGCCCTGACTGGAGGATCGACCGAAGGGAGGCGTGGCGGAGCGGGGCCGCGATCCTGTACAAGAGCCCACGCTGTGCCTGGATGGCCTCGCTGGCGCGACGTAGCTGAAGGGAGCTGTGGGCGCCTTGGTGACCCAGGAGTTTGGGATGCGGCTGGGGCAAAAGGCTGGGACTGTTGGCGTGACCGGAGTGCGGCCTCCAAACTTCTCGGTCCGATCGCTGAGCCGGGAGCTGGTTCTGGGATATGTGGGATAGGCGATGCCAGGGGCCTCGCAACGCACAGGGCTGCCTGTGCGAGGGTGTAGGATGCCCAGTTCCTGAGTTCCCTGGTTTCTGGCACCCAGGCTGCGGCGCGTCGGCGCAGTTTGTGCAAAGAGTGGCATGGGACGCAGGAGGCGGGGTGAAATCTCCGGCGATCGCAGTCGGGTTAGGCGCACGAGCGGGGAGTTGTTCTCCGGGGATGGGCTGCGCAGGGGGGCTCTGCGGCTTGGGGGCAGCACGATGACCTTGTGCTTGGGCGTTGGCTCAGGCCGCTGCTCCAACTTTGCGCTTGACCCGGTCATGAAGTTGGTAAACGCTTCGGGCGCTTCCCGGTACCTCCCAGACCAAGGTTCGCAAGGTTCGCAAGGTGCACACGGCGTTGCAACGTGCTCGCCACCCACCTTGAACAGCCAACTATAGTGAGTCGCAGGTATAATCAGGGCAGTTCATGCTTACATACACTGCATACAGGTCTACCCTCACACGAAGGCCTAAGGCTCTTGCCAAGGTGTCGCTGGTCGGTACCGCCGCCATGTCACCTGCAACAGACATCTATGCCTCCTGAATATGATTTCGCTCGGACATCTCTCCTTAAGCTGATTCGGAAAGACATGCGGCATGAGCTGCACGAGACTTTGCCACATGTCACCTGCGAAAGCTCTGACTGCATTCTCCTTCTGCTCGTCCAAGCTGTCCTGTGTCGGCGGACATGGGCACGTCCCCCGCGCAGAAATGGATGGACTGAACTCTGTCGATGGGTCCTCCTGGCACCGCTCCTCCTCAGGAATGTCGGGTGTCGATCCAGGACCTGCTCAGAAAGCGGAGGGCAAGCCAAACATACCCATGACACACCCAAAGCTCTCACAACATGGCCGTGTATGGGCTCGCTGGACCATGCAGTTACAAGGCCGCAATCTCTTTGCCTTGGTGGCAACATTAGGCGACCACAGACAATCCACGTAAATCTGCCCAGGGCCGCTATCATGCTGGAAACACTAGACTAGGATGGCACTTATATAAGCCCTCTGAAAAATGTTCCCAAATGTAATCCTCTTGGCCCAACAAGTAAAGGAAAAATGAAATGTCCCAAGGCCCTACCGAGTAAAGACGCCACAACAGCTACTCACGTTGGACGTCAGGCCCCTGCCAAACTTAAAACCCAACAGACGTTCTGAGAGATCCTAAACCCTAGCCCTAAACCCTAAACCCTAAACCCCAAACCCCAAACCCTAAACCCTAAACCCTAAACCCCAAATAAACCAAAAATAATGAAAACCTCCAAAGCTCCGAGGCCGAAGCTCTGCGCGCCGAGGCTGGGCCCGGACATGGCCTGAAAGGGTCCCAAACTCTATAAACCTTAATAAAATTAATATTTTAATATCCTCTTGGGTTTTTATATAAACAAAAATAAGAAAAAATAATTAACAAGGGGAACATAGAACTCTCTGCGCGAGCCCCTACTTTAGAGGTTCATGGTACTTACTAACCAATGATAGCTGTACTTATAACCTCCAAGTAGTAGAAGCCTCGAATTTTACATCCCGATCACCGAGTTTAGGGTTTAGGGCTTAGGGTTTTAGGGTTTAGGGTTTAGGGTTTAGGGCTTTAGGATTTTGGGGCACCTACTGTAAGCTTTGAAACAGGGAGGCCAGAGCAACTAGGCCCCCAGGCGATGAAGCATCCCCAGTCGCACGTCCGCGACTGGCTGTGGGTAGGGCTGCGGGCCTACCTCTACGATCCAGCTTGGCAAAAAAAAGGCCGGATCGCGAACTAGTGTGATCCGACTTGTTGCTCGGAGTGTCGCGTCTCCCTTGCGAGTCAGCTTTGGATCAGCGCTGCGTCAGTCAGCCTCTGTAGGACTATGAAATTGGGGTCCGAGCCCGTTTCAACCCTTTTTTTTTGCACGCAGCCGGACGCACAGGCATGGAAATTCAACTGACCTGTAACTTTGTTCCTACCTCGACATGCACGCGGGCAAGGCATCACCATGGCTTAACTACACCTCCTGAAATTTGAAGGCCATTGACGCTGCGCCAGCTCTGCGAAGATTCGCTCTGCGAAACCCTGTACGGATATCACTGCAACGTTGAGAGCTGTTGTCAGGGCTTTGCTGCAATGAATGCAGCTATTATTTCAGGTGGTGTGAGCTGAGCCACCGGATCCACCTTGGCGACGGAGCTGATGAACTGAATGTCTCTGATCGGGTAGGAGGGAAGTCACAAACAACGGTCACCCCACAATAGGGTTTAGGGTTTAGGGGTTTAGGATTGGGGTTAATAATCGACATTCCCATGGAAGACTTCATCAACCCCATCTCTGCGCTCAGGCATTAACAGGTGATCTTGGCACCTGCCACACCTGCCTTCAACTGGCTGAAGCCCCTGTAAAAGCAGCGTAGGATTTAGGGTTTAGGGTTTAGGGTTTAGGGATGCTTGGCACGACGGTGCAATCTGTTCTGCCCCGGTTTGAAGAAAGGCGTGGCCTTTGTGGAATGGCCGACTTCGCCGGCGAACAAAAAAAATCCTGATGCAGCTCTGGAGGATGCCTGCGGGGTTTAGGATTTAGGGTTTAGGGTTTGGGGTTTGGGGTTCAGGGCTTTAGGGTTTTAGGGTTTAGGTCCTTCAGGGTTCTTTCTTCCTTGCGCCCGCAGCATGAGCGTCATTCTCCTCCGCAGCGCACTACTGCGAGGGGGCCTTTCTTCTAAGTCCAGTTATGGAACATACAAAACCCTAAAACCCCACAAAAAAACCTAAAACCCGAAAAACCCAAAGTCCCTAAATGTATATTACGACATACAGGATTGTAGATATGCTAACACATAGGAGATCTCTTTCGCGAATTTTCGAATCTATTGTCACTCATTATGGCCAATGCTTACTATTTCAGACGGCACACTTTCTTTCTATCAGGAAGTTGCAAATGATTTTCTCAGTTGTGCATGAAAACTGTGTCAAGCCAAAGGGTTAAAAAATCATGGAAGTCTGAGGCGAAGCAAACTTACAAACTTTGACCACTTGCAACCCCATAGCCGATCCAGTCCAGACCTGGAAAGTTTCCAAGCCAACCTGGTCTTGCTTGCACGGCAACTTTGCGACGTGGTGCGACGTGGTGCTCGTCGTAACCCTTCTCTGAAATCTAGCAAAAGCACTACATCTCCACTACGTTATCATCAATTGCTCAGATCTGCACTGCACCTCACTACCTTCCCACAACATCTGATTTTTCGCAATGTCCATGACCGCGCTTATGGCACTACACATACAAGTTGCTCAACGAACACTTGTCAACCCCAGCACCCTACGGCAAGTCTCAGAGCTTAGGGATTAGGGTTTAGGGTTCTGTGCCTTCTGTCGGTCTGGAAGCAGAAGGGTTGCGACGAACACCATGTCAGAAAGTTTCCCTGTAGACGAGGTTGGCAGGGCGACTTTCCAAGTCCGGACTGAATCGGTTATGGAGCTCCAACTGTGCAATGCTTCTGAAGTTTCAAGAAGACCTGCTTGTAAGTTAGTTGCGCTTCAGACCTCCTCCATAAGATCGATAGAACTGATCAAGACCGAAGTCATACTAGCATGTCATTCACGAACTATGGGAAAACAAGTATACATCTTATTAGAAGTTGCTCAAGCCTTCTTCCGGAACAAGCCTAAGCCAGCTTCAAAAAACACTTCGCCTAACATAACTGACATCAGGTATCCAAACTATGACTACTAGATCCAGGAGTAACCTAGGAATAAAGAAGGGTACCCTTTTTGGTTTTGAGGGGATTATAAGGGAACCCTATAAACGGAAATAAGGGCCTACTCCGGGTCCTAGTAGCCCTAAACCCTAAACCCTAAACCCTACACCCTAAACCCACTAACATTGCTATGACCGAGGCGACCTCACAGCACTAGGCGCCGATGATGTTGCCGCCTCATCTCGGCCAAGCACCCGTCCGGATTGCGGCGCTTCGAGAAACTGCTCTGGGCGCATCCCCCGGCCTAAGCTACAAGGAGGCTGTAGGGTAGGGTTTAGGGTTTAGGGTTTAGGGTTTAGGGTTTAGGGTTTAGGGTTTAGGGTTTAGGGTCTAGGGTTTTGGGGTTTAGGGTTTTGGGGGTTTAGGGTTTAGGGTGTAGGTTCAAAATGGAAGCCCTCAAGGGCCCTCATGCGCAACAGTCCCCCGACGTACGATGAGAATACCTCTAAAGATCTGTAAAGTCCCGGTTTGGGTGCGTTTGGGTATCTGTAGTGATCTTAAATACTAAGGGGGAGGGCTTAGGGTTTCGGGATTCGGCTGCAGATTCAAGCGGGATGTCGCCCTGTGAGAGGCATCTCCGGGGGGCCCTGCGTGGGGTCGTTGCGGGGAGCAGCCTGGACCTCGGCGTGGCAAAGCCGTGAGGACGGAGGTTTCAATGGGGATCCAGAGGCAAACCATAGAAGATAAGGAGAGAGAGCGAGAGGGAGAGAGAGAGGACAGAGAGGGGAATTATAGATCGATATATGCTTATATATATGTATGTGTACATTCATATATATATATGTATATATATATGTGTAAATACATAGTGTCCGTGTCTGCCCTCCCATGGATAAGGGTTGCCAGACATGTTCGGAAACTAAGCGTTCGAGCCCGTTTCACATTGTGAATATGTGGCAGGGACTCTTCTAAGGTGATTGGCCTTTCGTAGATACTAATCTATTTCTTCTCGGCTTGTACATGTCCATAGTTCGATGGAAAGCTCTCCGACTCGGTGTCTCATTTCCTCGAATATACTCTTACTATAGTTTCCTTTACATCTTGTGCAGGTCCCTCAGTAAAACGGGGTTTGTATGGGAACCCCACCCCGACAGAGAGAACGCGGACCGACTGGAGTGCAAGTTAGGCTATTTGTACATCAGGGTTTTGGGTTTAGAGTTTAGAGTTTAGGGTTTGAGGTTTGGGGTCCAGCAAAAAATAGACAAGCAAGAACCTGAAATGAAAGAACACATTGAGTCAACGGCAATGAAAGCCAAGAAGGGGCAAGCAAGAAACAGCAACACCAAATCAACAGCAAACAAAAACACAAAAAACGAACAGCATGAAGCCAAAGGCGATGAGCGTAGGCTCTGCTTTCAGCATGATGCAAAGCTTGCACGCTTTCGGATGTAGTCTTTGGAGGCCAAGAAACTGAGACATAGATGCTGAGGGCTATGGCCTTACTGGGGGTTTCCGAAATTAGGGTACCTTCTTGGGGCCCTTTTTATAAGGGGATCCTTCTATTTGGGGACCTATATTGGGGGTCCCCTATTTTTCGCAAACCCCCCGGGCGCACCTTGGGAGGGGTCCTGGCGCGGTCACGTTCGCCCTGCACCCGCGGAGGAGTGGCACCTGAAGGCTCACCACAGGCATGGCAAAGGGTGAGCAATAAATGCTACGACATGAAGGGACCCCTAGAATAGATCCCCTAAAATAGTAGGACTCCCTTCTGCGCTTCTAAGGACCCCAATAAGACACCCCAAATTTTCGGAAACCCTTCCAAATGGCATCGGAGACCAAGCCTCGTGTTGCCTGGGGCTTTGTAGCAGCCCTTGGAGTGGCAGTTTTTCCTGGGGACGCCCGGGGCGTGGCAGCCTGCAACGTGCTCTGCTTCTGCGAATCGTTGGGGGGCGGCGGAACTCAAAAGACCCTTCCTGCCCAGAGACTACAGTGCCGAACCTACGAAGCAAGCAGGCTCACGCTACGAAGCAAGCAGGCTCACGGACACTAGATCTCAACGCGATGGTGTGCTGCGACTGCTGGCCTTCGGTGACTTGTCCCGTTCGGGAGGAGGTGTTTTTGTCCGCGGAGTGTTTGCTCCTTCACGTGGCAGGGGAGGGGTCTCTGGCGGTGCGTCGAAGCGCATCGCAGCTCCAAGCATCTTCACATGAGCCCAAGTCAGCTTGAAGAGTCTCAAACGCCAAACCGCCGATGCAAGGCTCATGTACCGGTACAGTAACCCATGATAACCCATAGTAAGCCCAAGCCTCACAGAATTCAAACCTTGAGCCCTACAAACCCTAAACCCCAAAAAGTCCTTTGTACGATTGCAGCTTAAACCCTTTAGCCCCAGCTCCTCTCTCGCCCGGCACCCCTCGGCTTGGAGGCGCGCTCGCCTGTACACACGTGCTGCTGGGATGGTTGACCTGCTTTCCGACTTGCATCTGTATTGGCCTCAGATTCTCGGCCGATAATTCGGGTCAGCCCCCACTTAAAAGCTTGACTTGGGGGTTTGGGGGTTGAGGGTTCCGTGGGCACAGAGTGGGACCCCCGGGCTTGCGGCAGTGCGAAGGCATGCCTCGGAACCCCTAAGCCCTAAACCGGATAAGCCT